AGAGGAAACATTCATTTGATAATGTTGAAGCCTCTTAAGACCTCCTTTGTATCCAGTTTATGATTGATTAATAAAAGCTTTGCTTTTGAGGGAGATTATTCTCTAAGATTCTTGAATCCCTTGGTTGAGCTGGCAGGTCCTAAGCGAGGATTCTTTGAATCCTTTGGTTGAGCTGTTTATCTGTTGCTTCCGCTCTATCAGTTGGTATCAGAGCTGCGTCTCTTTGGTTTCTCAATCAAAGACGATTCTGGTTATCATGGTGAGTGATAGTAACATATATCCTTTCAAGGACGAAAGTCCTTTTGTCGAGAGAGAAGAAAGTCATGAGATCTACAAAGAGATTCATGGCGATCCTATCTTCGATATCTATGAAGAAGATGTCATGGTTTTCGACTTCCACTTTCGAGAAGATGATTTTGGAAATCTGACACGTGCAAAATCCGGGTTTCCTGTCAAAGACCAGATCCGTGCAAAATCAGAATTTTCTGTCGAAGTCACAGAAGATCAGATCANTACAAAATCCGAGTCAGGTCAGATTCGTGCAGAATTCGTGTTGAATCCGTATTTTTGCCCTGCAAATATTCTCTTGTTAGAAAATCGGGTAAAAAATTGTTTTTTCCTTTAATATATTGAATATCGAAATCAAAGACAGATAAAATAGCTTGCCATCGGGCAAATATTTGTTTTGATACTAAGTTTTTAACATCTTTTTTAAGAATCTCTTTGGCTGACTTACAGTCAACGCGTAATAAAAAATTTTTGTTTATAAGATCATCTTGGAATTTGGATATGCAATTAACAATAGAAAGGACTTCCTTTTTTACGGTTGAATAATTCCTTTGGGGTCCAATCCAGACTCCTGAGTGAAATCTNACTATATTTTCGTGGCTAGATTCACTTAGTTTTTNTTTTAATATGCCTCCATAACCTANNTCTGAAGCATCAGTTTCGACAATCATATCGGCTTCAGGGTTTGGTATAGTAAGACATGGAAGGGTTTAAACCTTTTGTTTAATTTGTTGAACTAATTTTGTGTGTTGACTTGTCCAAGTTTTGGATATTTTTGAAGTTAAAGACTTATTAAGATAGATCCTACCTTTTTTAGAAACACTGTCACTGTTGGTGTTCCAGGCCGCAAGTCCTCGCAGTTAGACCGTAAGTCCGTTGGCAAGTCACCTTCCTGCCTCAATTACTTCCGGGAATCTTCACCTATATATATATATAAAAAAAAGCCAATAATATTCTATATAGTCGTACAATTTTTCATTTTCCAAATAACGTATATTCTGGTAGACTCTGTATATTATTTTAAAACTTATTATATCATGAACACCGGATAAGCCGGTTAAAATAAAATAAAATACAAAGTATATCTGAACAAGATGTACTCTAAAAATAATATTCTAAAATATTCAAAACATTACAGGCGGGCCCCACTTTCTAGAAGACAGTGACACCCGACAGACGGGACCCACCTCAAGACCCACTAGAAGACTCAGCTGCAATGTCGGCACTAATCACAACCTTACAGCAAAAAGAGACAGACAACTCTGACTCACCCTATCAACTTTAGACTAAAATCAAACAACAAACCAATCAGAAGCAAGCACGAAATAAAGTGAATACGCAAAAGTAATTGAAGCAATAATCCAAGATTCGCCTGCTCTCTTATAAATACCCACTCTCGGGTTCAGAAGCAGGACACGAGCAATTTCCACAACCTCTCTCTATAATCTCACTCTAAATTTCTTTGTAATCTTTTCAAAGTCTTCAAGTCTTATTTTGTACTCTCTTTAAAAGGTATAATTTCAAAATCTTGTATTTATATTTCGGAGAATCAATAAATTTACAAGTTTTAACAAATACTTTG